AAAGTATAGTACGAGAAGGTAACAATTTGTATTAAAAATAGTATTACATAATTATGTATAACGCTACATTTTACAAATAAAACGTTTTTTTAAGTAAATATTTATGTTAATTTCTGGAAAATTCTCTTTATGTTCTTCCCATAATCTCAATTATATTTTGCTTGTATAATTTAATTATATTATATTCATTCAACTCATACTTTTCATCACTTTTTCCGATAAAAGATGAGATGAATATTTTGCTGTGTATAAATATTTTATATTTACAATAAGTTCTATTTATTTTGTATTTATTTAATGATATTTTTAGAAAGAATTATTAAATAAACATACTTTGATTTCAACATAATCGATAAATAATGAAAATTATTTAAAAACGTTCTTAACTGATTCACATATATGATCACTTCTCTAATTTTAAAATATTATAATTTTAAATAATTCTTTTTTTCTCTCTGGCTTTCTCTCTTCATAAAATTCCTTGTAGAATTATATAAAATTTAATACTCTGCTACAGTTTATTGATTTGAAAATCGCGGTTTTAAATATCAGCGGTGTCGCTATGATCATGCGCGTCTGCTCATCTGTTTTTGACATTTCTGACAGTCTTACCAATTGTCGTTGAAGTACTTGAAGTTTAGAGTTTGTTTTTCAGCACGTCGGCTTTCTCATGTAAACTGTTGTGAACAGCTGCATTAAAATGGTAAATAAAGAAGAGGTGAAGAAAAATATAAAGGATTTGTGCAAGAATGACAAGTATTCGATTTTACTTCCCACTTATAATGAAGTGGAAAATTTGCCGATAATAATATGGCTCATTGTGAAATATATGGAGGAGAGGTAACTAGACATAACCTAGAATTGATCAAAATTTATGTATAATTAATGAAATAAAATAAAAATCGATAAACTTAAGCTGTATAGTTAAAGAGTTTTGTAACAATGTTTTGTTTACAATGTTACAGTGAGCTTGCCTATGAAATTATTGTGATAGACGATGGTTCTCCAGATGGAACTCTGAATATGGCCAAGCAATTGCAACGTGTTTACGGCGACGATAAAATAATCTTAAAGCCGAGAGAGAAAAAACTGGGATTAGGAACTGCTTACATGCATGGAATTAAATATGCAACTGGAAACTTTATTGTTATCATGGACGCTGATTTATCTCATCATGTATGTATCGCATTAATGAATAAATGGAGAAGTAATAATGCTAAGCGTTTCTATAAAACATTCTTTAATTTTCAGCCCAAATTTATTCCAAAAATGGCTGAATTACAACGATATCTGAACCTGGACGTAGTCAGTGGTACAAGATATGCATCAGGCGGTGGTGTTTGCGGCTGGGATTTCAAAAGAAAGTTAGTCAGTAGAGGTGCAAATTTTTTAACACAGATTCTATTGAGACCTGGTGCAAGTGACTTGACGGGTAGTTTTAGGTAAATTTTAAAGACTTAGTTCTATGTGTTCTTACAAAATATTCATAGAATAGTCTCCAATATGTTCTTTAATATGTGATTTTATAATTTTAGGCTTTATAAAAAGGATGTATTGGAAAAGCTCACACAATCCTGTGTATCTAAAGGATATGTATTCCAAATGGAAATGATAGTCAGAGCTAGACAATTTAATTATACAATAGGAGAAGTGCCAATTACATTCGTCGATAGGGTCTATGGTCAATCTAAATTGGGTGGTTCAGAGATTTTTCAATTTGTAAAAGGCCTTTTATATCTTTTTGCTACTACGTAATTGGAAATGTTTATAAGGATAAGATAATCTTTATATTGTTGATTCATCAACATCTTTTTCAAAATTTCTTGAAATTAACATTCAAAATCCAATATACAAAGTGTCACGTAACTTGTATTATCAAAATTATGTTTTTGATAATACAAATATACATCAGAAGTGTCACAACAGTAAATTTTTTTATTTTTTATACAAATACACATCAATAGTATCACAACTCAAAATAATTCAGTTCCTTGTATATTAGAAGAATATCAAAATCGTCACAACTTAAAAAGATTTTTTAAAGATTGTGAAACAAAAGTAACAAATATAACATTTGATCATGTTTCTAAGAGTATATTCCTTTTGTCGATATTATTTAGTCATTAATATTCTGTGCTAAGTTGAAAAAATAGTTTTTCCTGAAAAATTTAATTTTTTGTTACTTTTTTAGATAATTATTTAGAATATACTCCCTCCCACCCCAAATCTTAATAAAAATACACTTATTCGACATGTTTTTACTCAAAACGAAAAAATCTGACAAAAAAGATTTAAGATGAAGGGAGGAGAGGGGGAAATTCTAAATAATTGCCCTTCTTTATAGTAAGTAATTGATATATGAATGTATATTAAAAGGTTGTATAATATAAAAAGAGTTATAAATATTTTAAAACAAATTATTAAAATATTATTTTTTATATATTTTATACGCTAATTATATTTTCCAATTCAAACACGAAATATCATTCTCGTCGTAAACATTAAATGGAATCATCAAAATATTGCTACAGATTGCAATATGTCAGGTATTTAATTCCGTTACATGAATATCTTCATGCGATATTTTCTTTTATAACGCTTTTAGAATGTTCTCACGAAAATAATCAAAGTTATTCTAAAATAACACGTGCCTCTACACGTGGCCGTGAACGATGAAGTGGAGCATGCGTATAAGAAGCTTCTCGTGGGCTCGTCCACCCTCGCCGCACCCTCTGACGTCACACAGCCTCCATTTATTGATCCATTACGAAATTACAGTCTATATTTCGACTCGAGCGAACTCGAGTAGAATGCGAGACATGAGTAGACTACATCAGTAGAATATTGGTATTTATATAGTAAACAAACGCTGTACATTCTTTATGAATATAATATTTCAGGGATTCTGAAATATTACGCAACTTCCTCGTTTAATTTACGCCACGTTTTACCGAAAAAAAAATTCCAGTTTTACTAAATAAAAAGAGTAAACTTTAATAAACGTGTGTTCAAATAAAAACGCACAGAAGAAATTTATTTCTGTGCCGAATAATTTTTTTCGAAATAAAAAACTCGAATGTTCAAAAAATTTTAAATCGCAAAATAAATAATATCAACAAAATGAAGATATTAGTGATTAAAATATCAAGTATAGAAACTAGAAAAGATTACATAATTCCTATTAACAATTTTAAATCAGAAATATATTTTTATGGGTGGCCGAGGGAAAGAGATAATTTGTGTATTGAATTCCGCATTGCTTCTCGCGAGAATTAAAATAAATAGATAAGAATAGAAAGAGGAAACGCGGAAAGCTATTCAATTGTTACGAGAAAAATCTTCTTTATCCTTCACGACTTGAGGGAAATAAATATTTGTATCAAATTTTTCTGTGATTCACCCCTTCTTTTCAAGAATGTTCACAACATTTCGCGGAAATCTCGTATCAATTTCATAGCAACATCGCGGCGTCATTGCGATATCTGCGTCGTGTTTGCGAATTCGCGAATATACGCATGTCTTTTCGCTGGAAAATCTCTCAACCTATTATTGGAGACGGAGACGGCGGTTCCAGCCTTCCAGCGCGAAGCCAGTTCTGTCGCAAGCTTCGCCGCGGCCGGATGCGCAAGTGGGGTGGCCTGCGCGCCGGGGTGAAACTTGCAAGCTCCCCCTTTATCGAGCTTGCAGATGGCTGTGCCTTTTAGATTTTGACGTATCCCTCCGTTCCTCTCCGTTCGTTCGTCCCGTGCGCTTCGTGGTACAACATTTCAGTCGTTTATCACGCTGTTCGTTCTATTGGTTGCCATTTTCCGACGATCAGCACCCCCGCAACATGCCCAGGAAAGTCGGATTCAACGTCGTCTATGCCACGAGTAAGAGCGATCAGATCTACAATTGCGAAGTAAAACGCGTACTAACCTCGAGCGGTGATTGAGAAAGAATTGGATATTACATAGATCTAAATTTTACATTTAAATGGCAGAATTAAATGGTTAGGTCTGTTAAACAATGATTCGATTTATACTTTAACGTTCTAGACGTAGCGGTTGCTAGACACAGGCTGTCGCGATAAGCAAGACAGTACGACGTGATTTGTGATTGTTCTCATAAGAATTAATTACTCATATAGAGTATAAAATATTCCAGAAACATTTCATAAAATATTTCTAAAATATTAATATGTCCAAGGAATCAAGGTTTTTGAAATATTATTTTTTTTTATATTTGTACGGTATCTCTATAATATTTTTGTGAAATATTTAATGCAATATTTTAAAATGTTTTACAAGTATTTACAAAATATTTCTGAAATATTTTATTAAAATATTTCAAAAAATGATTTACATAAATAAATATTTTGTATGCTGTATGGATATAAGCTATACATAAAAAGAGGTTGCATTAATTGAAATTCTGATCGAAAATGGACAAATCAAAATTTTCTGATCGAGTCATTATAATATTAGTTGAGATAATCAAAATTGTGGTTAATATAATCAGAGTTCTAGTTTGTTTTCAAGTTGAAATTGCTTTTAGCGTAATTGCAATTTAACTAGTATAATATACATCTATAGAAATATATTTCGTAAATAAAAAATAGATACAAAAAACAAATGTTTTATTTGTAGGAAATTTTTAATTTGTTATCCATAAAAATTTCTTCTCATTGTGTGTGATTTCAAATTCAACCCCCTTGCGGCTTAATAGATCCGCATGGCTCTTGGCATTTTAATTATTTCCATTGCGATCGCCAGGATCTCGCCGGGACTGTCTTATCTTAATGCTTTTATCATTGCATATATGTATATTCGGATGCATTGATTTCTGCCGTGAGCCTGCGGTTCCCTCAACAATTATTTGGCACGTGTTCGCGATCGACGCGAACGATAATCTGTGCCGCAAGCCACGGAATTACTTTAAAAATGCATCGACAATGTTATAAATCTGTAAACGTGGAGTGACACGAGAGAACGTACACGTTCTGTGAAATACGTAAATCATAAATTGTATGCGAAACTGCGATATTGCGTGACGACATTGCGTCATTCCAAAAGGCTTTTAATTCTGACTCTTGAATAGTCTTGAAACCTATTTTGAAAATCTAAAGAGTTGATTTAAGTTTTGAAAATTTCAAACAGTGGCATCGAATACCAATCTTCTTTGCGGAAACGCACGCGAAATCGTAAATATTACAAACGTGAATAAAAAAAATGTACAAAAAAAATGTTCAAGAAAATATCTAACAATAAGCAATAAATTTATGAAATATTTACATATACATTTAAGTAATAATATCCAGTACCACATGTAACTATGTACGTCAATAATTAAGTAACGTATAGTAAGAACTTCCTCGTGCTCGTTCGACATTTTCGATTGACGGAAAAACTCGCAAGTCTAGATTTGAAGTATTGTTATATTATGTCATATTAATCCCAGTTTAACTTTATGATTTAACTCTTATATTATCAAGAAAGGTAATCAAATTATGCTAGAGCAATTTTGTTGTATTTTAATTAGAGAATAATTTTCATTATTATTTAATGCATCGAATATATAATTTATTTAATAATTATTTAATAATTATTTAATAATTAAACCAGAGTGGAAAAAGTGCTCTAGGATAATTTTAGTACCATCTTAATTCGTAATAGAAGGACTTATGTCTTAAGATTTATTCAGATTCTGAAATATATGTTCAAGGCGAGGAGGATAGGCACTCGTCGTTAGAGCTTAACGTTCACGGGCCAACAGTAAGAGGTTGGCAGAGTGCAAGAAATTGCACGTATCCTCAGGAATTGATTCTACGTCTTCATGGACCCACGAAGCTTACAAGAATACAGGTTCTGGCTCATCAGTACCTTATACGTAAGTTCGAATTAAAAATATTAAATTCAAATTATAATTGAATTTATCCTCTTAAAAATATATGATAATTGATAATGATAAATTATTATTAACGTTACATGAATGACTTTTAAAAACTGATATCTCTGCAGAGATAAAATTAAAAGTTACTGAGATTCATATATATTTTGAATTATACTTTAAATTGTATCTTGAATTATATATTTATTAAAAAAGTTAAAAATTTTATTTATTTTTTCAAAAATATTTATCAATTTACTAAATAAGATATAAAAAAAAACTGATTCTACTAAAAAATTTTAACCAGGCATTATTTAGTAAATAATGTGTTATGAATAAAATAACAATGACAGATCGTTTCTTTTTTAATGAAAAAAATAAGTTTTCTTTCAAATACGATTAAAATCATTGTCCGTTAAAACGACGTTTCGGCTAAAAAGCAATTTACCGACAATGGAAATCGAATTAACGAGCCTACCATGATTTCCCGGGGCATCGTCTCCTCTTCTTCATTTTTCGGCTGCACCGGCGGAAATGAAACTATACCGGACGGCTATAGAGAATCGTATTTTCGCTATAAATTTAAAAGCAGATATACATCTTCCAGTGGATCAATATAATTTCTGAATAGACTTAAACTACTGTACTACAAAGAAAAATGTTCTATAATAATAACTAATAAAAAGATTCAATAAAAACGCGCGCGATATTTCGATGAAATTACACAAAATTGCTGATTATTATTATCATCATTTGAAACTCTATTGATTGTCATTCTTATTGAGCCTTTGTATTGATTTATCTAATCAGGACCTTTTTCTTAGTGTACAACTAATTTGATTGTAGCTGAAAAGCTGGAGATCTGGACGTCGAGGGAAGAAAATGCATCCACTTCGACGGACTTCAGTTACCTGGGCTACATCACGCTGTCCGACAACGCGTCGACCCTTTATAAAAGTAGGGAACTGAAAAGCGTGGCTCTTCCGGAAACAGAAGCGCTATCGCTGAAACTCAGATTACATAAACCGCACAGTAACGCGCACAACACATATTGTCAGGTACGTAAGTCATGACAGTCATTCAACAGCTGATTATATAAATTATTAATAAAATTAAATGATTAATAA